TTTGGGTGCAATCAAGTTCACAATCTCCTCTTCTGCTGTTTTTATCATCTTTGGGAAATCACAAAATCACAACACACAGGTCCAAAACCCACCAGCACCTGCTTTCCAAAAAAAGCAAACCTTACATGGGAACTTTGAAAACATAGATGCAAAGGTTGCATTAGGCAGCTGACCAGGACCCTGTACTCTGTTTGCCAATCCTTCACTCAGCATTGGGGCAAATACATCCTGAATTCAAGCTTTATTTGAGCCTTTTCAAATCATACCCTATAAACATTTTTGTTTCCACCATTAATCTGTGCATAGTCAACTTTTATAAAAACATTTTTCATTACAGTATAAGGCTCTAAGCTGAAAAGTCTTAAAATGGTTTTAAGTACTGAATACAATACTGCACTGCATTTTTATAGCTGTGATGAACTCCAGCATGCAGTAGGGAGATATGTCAACTTTTTATGTGGTACTTCAGGAATCTGAAGTAATGGTCTAACCAGTTTTCTCAAATGCATGGGGTGTGGTCTACAGAATTTTTTTGCCTGTCTGTGAGAAATTTTCTTCAGCATAATGAAATTATAAAAAGTAGCAATGAAGTATGTCACCTTTATTTGAAATTTTGAGAAGACAGTGACAGTTTAAATAATCAAATGAACAAATTTGAATTCTCTCCTTATAACACTTCAGATAAATTTTCACATGCTCAAACAAATAACATAGATTTTTTCTTCTGAAAAACCTTTCTTCAAGCCCACATTTCTAATTTTTTGAAGACATTCCACTAGACTGTAGCTGCTTCATTGGTTCTTTGCTTCATTGTTGCAGGATAGCAGAAAATGCTTTTAATATCTGCCGTGAAGTGTCTCAGACAAAACTTCTGAGCCTGCAAAAATTGCATGAAACTTTGCCAGTGCACAGAAGATTTTTTGGAAATTTGCCAGTCTGTGGGCCTAAGATGGTTGCAGATCACTGGCCAAAACTCCATATACTGTACTGTATTCTAAAATAACAGTATGCAGGCAAATTCATTGGTCCATACAGTTTAGTGAGGCTACAGGAGCAATCCTAATTGAAAATCATTTAATGCTTTCTCCATCCCTACAATTACTTTCTTTGTGCAGATATTGTATTTTTCCAGTGCACCTCAGAACCATAAATAAAAAACGTAACCACATATATCTAAGCTGAGGAATAATAATAATAGAGGAAAAACAAATATGGACCACATGGACTTCTGGTTTCATGTGTGCAAAAATTACTCCAAATTGGTTCTCAAAAATGTCTTCTGGCATTTGCAATAATTTTTTTACTCATTGCAATAGTGATTGCAATTGTGCATTACTTTTTTGAAGGCTTGTGACTGTATTTGCAATTGGGGTGAAACTGACAATCACAATCACAACCAGTACCAAATAAGTTCAGCAGTGTATACATTTTTCTTGGGAAAATTCATTTAAACCATGGTAAAAAATTCAATGAAAAATAGATAAACTGTTAAAAAGTTTTTTCATTGACTGTGTAAGTTGCTAGGTGAAAGAGGATATATTGATTTTTATGGCTTCAACTTCAGACAGGTTGGTACTTGGCACAGAAAGAAGCTTAGTAGTCATATTTTTTTTTATTGGTAATGGCGCTTGTCTGAAAGAGTTTGGGCATTCCAAAGGATTGAATAATACCTTCAAAAGGCTATTTAGCTTTATTCATAGTTTTTGGTACTTTATTCCTTTATCCAGGCAGATGTTGTCTGTTTTTTGTCCGTTGAGAATCCAAATGGCATGAGAAAGCATGACATCCATGCAATGCAAAAGTTTTGTTTTGATTAGATTTTCTTTGTTATTCTTTTCTTTCACAGGATTGACTTTTTGGAAATAATTTGAGATAAATCAGGGATGATTACAATAAATGTGAAAAGCACAGGATGGAAATCCTGAAAAGAGTTGCAATCACCCTTGCAATTGGGGGAAAACACAAAGAAATGCATTGCAATTGGGGATGTTAACATTAGTGCCCTGTGACTGCAACTTTGATTGGGAATAATATTTGTGCTGGATTGCGATTACGAAATTATTTTTCGATTGCGATTAACAACTCTGCTCCAGACTTAATGAGCATATCTTCCGTAGTCATGGAAGAGTTGTCGCCTTGTCTGCCTGATGAGAAACGGTGCCTGCAGCTTATTCGACGCACATCATTCACAAGGCAAGATGGCGCCCTCCTCGGCACATAATTTCGCGCGCGAGTACCAAGAACCCGCTTGTTAACTTCCATTCCGTCAATGGAGTGCGTTGGTAACTGGAATATGAAGCTACTGTATATTCTCTTCCCTGTGTCATATGTTCGTTCGATGATTCATGGGTATAAACGTGTAACACAGCCGAAGTACCGTTCCCCCGCGTCACGTTCTCTTCACTCACCCTAAACATGATTCATGATACTGTAGAAGAGTTCGTCGGTCAGACGAGTTGCGAGGTACAATTCAGAAATTCCATTCAAGGGTCAATTCCCGCTGCGTAAATGTATCGTGTTGTACTTCTGAAAATTTCCCTCACTCGAAAAACCGTGTAAGCAGCGATGCGATGAAAAAGGATTCTCGCGTGAAGGGAGAACCGCGTACGCTTCTGACGATGAAAGGTCGTGTGCTTTTAGAGAACCCTGGTCAGCTGCCCAATCGTGCCACGGAAATGCACACCGCCACGTATACACACACGCACAAAGTACCAGCATTCACATCACACTCAGAAATCACTCTCCCAACACTTTGGAAACAACCGAAATCCCACCACAGGCTTCTGATGGAAGATGCGCGCACTGAACGACGCTGTTCCTCCATCGATCATGACCCAATTCAGGATCGACGAAGCACCCGCCGAGAAGTAACGAACGAACAAAAGCTAAACCGCGCGGGAAATGCTCGCTCTCAGTGGAACACACAAACGTGCCTCTCCTTCGCCGGTGATGGGGAAAGGACGAAGTTCAAGCGACAGACCGAGATTACAGTGGAAGACAGGTGAGTGAAATGCGAGAAAAGAACGAAGACACCGATAACATCGTCGCTCGTCATCACGGATGGCTAAGTCCGGCAGGAATTTCATCACACGAGATGAGGAACAATTACCTTCTCTGGCGGTAATATGGGAGGCGCGTCCACCTCTTGAGAAAAAGACGCGATGTAAGCGTTCTCGGCTTGACGTCAGGTGCAATGAACAAGGTCATCCAGGTCGAGGCCCTCTGTTTCTGTGTACACTTCCCTTCTCGGAAGGAAACTTATATAGGGTGACTAAGAATTACGGGATGTTCAACTGACTCCACATGCATGCTACGATTCTGCTTTAAAAAATGTTCTAGATAAGAATAATTTTGGATAACTCCAATTATGATATTTGAAGAGTTATTGGTCATGTTTTTTGTGTGTTCAAAGCAGATTATTTTTTACAATCACAATACCTGTCGCACTTATTGCCATGAGAATATGTAATTTAAAAGGAAAAAATTATAAATTACAACAGTAACCATGAAATGGACTAATTTTATTGAATATGGGGACCTGCTGCATGGACATTCTGAAACATATTTTAAGCTACATTCCAGTATCAACGAATTACAGTATCATTGGATCTAGGACAAATTGAGACAGGAACATCATGAGCAAGAAAAGTTTTGCAGGCAGACTGTCTAAAAAAATTTCATTCTTTTCCCCTGGATTTAATAGTGAAGAGAGTCCAACTTCATTGCAAAGAATAGTAGTTTCATAGTTGAACATCTCAAGCAAAATTTCTAGGAAAAAATTGACTTGAAGGGGTTGAGATTTTGAGTTAAGGAAACAAACTTTTTTTGCTGCATGTTTGCAAGGAAAATTAAAAAATTGTGGGAAATTGTAAAAGAATATTCTGGGCCTAACATAGCTTCTTAATGAGTTTACATAATGCTGAACTTGTAGACAGGGGTTCATTTCATTTATCATTTTTCTCCTTTTATATTTCAATGGAATAATAACCAAAAGGCCTAAGAAAATTCAACTTACAGAGGTTTGAGAGAAAAAGATTTCAAGATAGGGAGGCTTTTAATGCATTGTTTCTAAGGGAATCCAGACAGGGACTTGAAAAAATTTTGAGTTAGGGGGTATTTGACTTAGGGAGGTTCAACTTATCAAGGTTCAACTCTAATAATAATAATTGAAATTATTACTGTAAATTACAATTTTTGGAAAAGTTTCAGCAACTTTGATAATCATTCAGATTCAAGTTAATCGAAGTTAGTTCTACTTATTTTTTTTTTTGAGCACAGGCAATAATAACTAGTCTTTCACCTTGTCACTAGAATCTCAAAAACTTTCACAACCAGTTTGAGTTCATGCCCAAGACTAATCTCATGCCTACAAGAACCAGAAAGAAAATTGACATATTGCTGGTACATCCAGGCCAATTAAAAATTATTCCCACAACAAAAAGTAGGTTAGAATTAAACCTGATTTTAAATAAACCAACAAATGAATACTCCTGAAAACTTGCAGCTCAATTAAATGAGCCACAAAAGGCATTACAGTATTTTGCTCTCATGAGAGAATCCACTGAAGTGTGATGAAATGAATTTTATTCAAGATTTAAATAAAATCCCTGCAATAAAATTTGCTAATTCTGGCAGCCCAAATTAGAGCACTGCATCATGACACATGACTTGGCACTTCCCATGAAAAACAACAGACATTTCATTTCAGATAAATCAATAACCTTGTCTCAAGAGCCTTGCTCAAGATAATAATCCACAGTAAGATACCAAAACAGATTAAGTAACATCCGATTTGTGTAAGCTCAGATTATGTAATGAACTTCTTCACACAACTTGGAAGCCGCATAAAAAACCTCCCCTCTCATGAAATCTGAGATTCCTGAAACGAATCTTATCATAAAATGAACTTACACTCAGATCAACCAAGGGTACACGAAATAAGTAAAAGGTCACAAATTAGACATAATATAATTTCAACGCAAAAAAAGTCACACGATAGCTTAAATAACATAATGTCCATTTGTTTCAACTCCCATGAGGTGTTCGAACAAAACATATATGTTCCTCCGAATATAAAAAAAAACAAAGAAAAAACCGTACCTTGTTTATAAAATCGAGATTAACAATGTAAAGATTCTATTTTTCTAACAATTTGTAAAATTCAACAACCTTCTTGACAACCAGGTTCTTCAAGGCTACTCTCAAAGCACCTCGTCTCACACTATTTTGTTTCGTTTTGTATTTTTTGTCTTTCTCTCTCATCTCTTCCATGCTGACATGTTGAGGCTGAACAAACAAACGAACGCATAAAATATATAAAAGTCCGTTTTGCAAAAAAACAATTACAAATACGATGCTCATCATGCAATGGATCCACTTAGCTGAACTTTTCCCCTTGGACGGAATCATCATTTCTTCATCACCAGTTGATTCTGCCATAAATGAGGCATAACAAGATCACTGCTGCGAAAGCTTTCGGTCCACTCTCGGCGCTACAAGCAGGCGGACAAACCGGCTCGTACGTCTCTGTGAAGTAAAAAAAAATCATAATTAAAAATACTGCAGATTGATTTAAAACGCGTCGAGATGATATAATTAAAAACAGTTCAGATGTCTTCATGTAGACATTGAGACGCCGGATTATATAAGTTTCTTTCACAAGGAATATTCCCAGGCGAAAAAAATAAATTCACAAAACATTTCTGTTCAATATATTCGAGGGGTTGAACACAAGTTCTCAGTTCAGTACAAGTTCAAGTTCAGAAATTGAATCCTTTTTTTTTTAGATAGATCCAAGGGATATTCAAAAATTTTTTAAATATGTTTTTTTACTCGCATTTGACAACGCTTCAGTGCTGTTCAACATTCTTTCCGCCGATTTCAACGCATTTTTTTAATGCGATAAATTCAACAATCAAGTGCCGAGTACGTTGAACAACGTTCAAGTGTTGCCAAATGATGGGGCTATGCAAATACATAAGTTTTTCGAAATTATTGTCACTCTGTGGGATCTACAGTGAGAGCTCCACATGCGGACACCTCGTTACTTGGACAATTTGACATAGGGACACTTTTTCCCCACAAAAATTAATGAGAAAGGCCCAACATGAGGACACTGACTCAACATGATAAAATTGCAAATAAGTTTCAGGCCAAATTACAGGAAACAGATGTTTCCAACCCTAAAATTGATGTAAAAAAAGTTCTTGGGCATTTCTCTCAACAATTCACTATCCATTTAGCCAATTTTAATAAATTACCTCCAGCATAGAGGGACTTCTACTTTTTTTCACTCAAATGTTTTTTTTGTAGATGCCAACATTTCAATTTACAGTACAGAGATACACTTTTCAATGCTTCAAATGTTCTTATTGAGTTGAAAATATATTCACTAATTCAAATTCAAGTGGCAAACAATTTTTTCAGGGAATTCTGAAGAATTTTTGGTCCATGAAGCACCAATTAAAAATTCTATAATTTAAGTCTATGGGAAAACAAGACTCGACTTGTGGACAATTCAACTTAAGGACACTCTTGATGCACCAATCATATCCGCATCTTGGGGTCTCACTGTAGAAATAACCCACGCTCCCCTCCCCTCCCCCAACCACAAACCGTGCAAATTGACGACGCCCTCGGCCCGGCCAAACTTATTGGCCGCCTGGCACTTGTACTCCCCGTACCGTCCCTGGCCCGCGCTCACGACCCGCAACGTGGCCGACGTGAAGTCGTCGCCGGCCGAGAACTGGCTCAGCTTGTAGTGCACGTTGTTGGCCAGCTGGAAGCCGTCCTTGAGCCACGTGATGGCCGGCTGCGGGTAGGCTTCCACGTGGCATTCGAGGTCCATGCCGTAGCCGTCAGCCTGGCCCACTCGGGGCCGCGGGATGGAGATGGACGGGCGGAACTCAACGTCCAGAGCGACGTTGCGACGGGCGCCTTCCCCGACGGCGTTCTCCGCCACGCAATAGTACGTGCCGCGGTCGTCCTTGGACACCGACGGGATCCGCAGTTTATTTCCACTGTTGCAGAAAGAGGGACGGGGACACATGTGAAAAAATTAAATGATAAAAATTTAATACTGTAGTAAAAAATGAAACATTTCTGAATCGCGGAGCTTCAAAATAATTTTTTTTTGAGCGAAATTTTTAAAATCATTTGGGCGTAGTTCAAGAAATAAAAAATCTAAAATTCAGGGAACTCTATGAGTCATTCAGAAGTGAGTACACATCTATTTTCAGCTTTGATCAACAGAAATAAATTTGTTGTTGAGAGAATCCCTAAAGCATAGGAATAAAACCGTGTTGGCCCAAGAAGAATTTTTTATTCAGAGAAAATAATTGCAGAGAGTCTACCTGTACACAGTATTTAAGTGCAGGTAAAATTTTCAGTTCAGTACCATATTTACTCAAGTACCACACGCACCTTTTTTCTCAAATTTCAAAAGGAAAACAGGGGTGCGCGTCATAAGTGGGTACAAATATTTCACAAAGTTTTAGGAACTTATGTGTGCATTATACTTAATTGTAATTGAGAAATTTGGAACAAATTTAACCTTTTTGTATACTGAAAAAGTTGGAAATAGATCAGATTTTTGTTCAATTCATGTCTGAAGTCAAAGTTTTTGTTTTTATTTTCAAAATTTTGTGGTTTTAGATTCACTAAAAATTGGGGTGCAGGTCTTACTCAGGAATGAGATTTTAGCCAAATTTCCAACAGAAAAACCCCTGTGCGCGCCTTACTTGAGGGTGCGTGGTACTTGAGTAAATATGGTACAATATTTTGAAAGCTGTCATCAAATACTTTCTGTCATTCCTCCTTGCTTCTTAAAAAAAGATAGAAATAGAGCAATCAAAAACAAAAATAATTAGCCAAGTTCAGCTCCAAATTTTTTCAAATATAAAAAAAAATATTTTAGTCAATCTATAATATGTTCCCCTTCACAAGAAAATAAAACAGGGTTCTCTTCACGGCGTCTCACCGATAAACGGCGCCGCCCGTCGGCAGAATGGCGTTGTTTTTCCGCCGCCAGGAAACCCTGGGATTCGGGAAGCCGGAAGCGTAGCATTCCAGAGTAACGTCTTCACCGACTGTGGCGACCACAGACCGCGTGGAGTCGTCGGAAATGACTGGCGGCTGACGAACAGACACCTTCACGTTCCGAGAGATGATGTTTTGCGTCGATATCAGCACTTGGCACTGGTAAATTCCGGCGTCCGTGTCTTGAATGTCTTTCATCTGCGGAAAATAAAACGAAAGAAATCAATCAAGATCCGGCACTTGCTATAAAAAAAAATATCCTGGTGAAAACATTTTACAATTAGATATTGCACAATAATGAGACTCATGATGTTTTTTTTTTTTTACATCTGGGACTGACATTTTGTTAGGAACAGATGTTGAACGCTCATCTACAATTATTTTCACAACAAATATATTAGGACTTGTCATCATTTTGGACTCTTTTTCATGAATGAATGAGGGAAAATTCAAGAAGTATAATATAACTCTCTTACTTGAAACCTGCCCAGCTTAAAATTTCCTCAACACAATTACATGACACAAAACTTGGCAAAACCATTCAGCAAGCAAAAATTCCTTCTTTCGCCCTCTTTTTCTTGTTGTTGCTCTTGTTATTTGAAGCGAATTCCCTTCACAAAAAGGGCCTGTGCTTATTATACCTGGAGCACGTAAGTCGAGCTGGCAGTGTTGTGCCGCAAGGCAAACCTCGTCTCTGGCAAAATCAAACTCGTGCCTTTGCTCAGCGGTATAGCACCACCCGGTTGATCCGGATCAATCTTCACCCACAACACCGTGTAATCAAAGGCGTATTGCACAGAGCAAGTCAACTCAGTCGTGTCCCCCAGGTCCACGACTTTCTCGTCGCTGATGTTCGATATCGTCGGCGTGCGTTGCGCCAAAACCAACGCCAACACTGTCGGGGAAAAAATAAAAATTAACTTTTGGAATTGAGTTGAAATTCTTGAATCATTCTGAGGAGCGATTCATGCACCTTTTTTTCCGTATGCATTCATCATCATCAAATTTCGCGAATAATATACAGTAGAAAATCATGACAACGAATCTCTTTCTAACGAATTAATGCTCAGTCCCTGTCCAATAGCCACAATTTAATATTAATATCGTTTCAAAATTTGTTTAACCAACAACGCAGCTCTTTCAAGGACACAAACGCTTCGTTCTAACGAGATTCTACCGTATTCCATATCTTACTGATTTATAGAAAAATGAAATGTTGAGGTGATTATTTCTTTAATATGAATACCAAAAGCAGGATGATGCTTTGAATATAAGCTGGGCAATAAATTAAATCAATAAAATGAAAATTGAGTCAATAAAATAAAAATTTAATCTATAAAATAAAATTATATCTATAAAATAAAAATTAAATCAATTAAATAAAAATTAAATAAATGAAATAAAAATTAAATCAATGAAATGAAAATTAAATCAATGAAATGAAATGAAAATCAGTAAAATAAAAGTGAATCAATAAAATAATTAAATCAATAAAAAGATTTAAAAAATAATTGAATTTTTTAAATATAATAATATTTTAATTGTTTATTTTTAGCAATTGAGAAAGAATAATTACTTGACGACCGCCAATTTATTCTTCCAACAAAACCTTTAGGAATCTATTGAATTCATTCTGGTTGATCCTCAACACACAATCATTAAATGGATGGAAATTCAGGAACATTGAAAAATAATTAACCAATGACAATTTATCACCAAATTTGTAAAGGAAGTAAATAAAATTCCATTTTTTTCAAAAAGAGATTCGGAAAGAAATTTCTTCGAGAGAATATTCACTCACCTGTCAGGAATGGAACAAGCCACAGCATCTCGACGAATATTCACGCTCTTACACAAACATGAAAGACCTCAGGCACTACTGAAAAAAACCTCGAAAGCACACATAAAAATAGTCTGCGGAAAGACCCGAGAAAATAGAAAAATAAATAACCTTACAGCATTAACCTACGAATGTATCGATCACAGGAATAATGCACATCAGAAGAGCAAACCTCAAAACACCAAGCGTCACAACAAAAAACGAACGAGAAATCGGCAAGGGCAAAAAATAAAAATTAAATGAAGTTCGCAATCAATGATCTGCTACAGTTGGACCTTTCCGAGTCAAAAACCTCCTCATGTCGAATTTTTGTCAAGTCCTTGTCAAAATTTCCTTCAGAACAACGTAATATCTCAGATACAATAGCTCAGAAGATTTTTTCTCTGAAATCTTCATAAATAAAATTAGTACCCGTGGGGTTTTATTCTGAGGACCCAGGAAGGAAAAGAACAATACAAATGTTTTTTTTTTTTTTAATTTTACAAAAGAAATCGAGTGACCAACTGAGCATATGTACCCTTGTTTTCCAGTTCAGCCTTCTTTCAACTCATTCATTCAGCAGTTTTATAAGCAGATATCGCAAATTTAGGATTCTTAATTTTTCTTAAACAGAAAATGCAAGTTTCCAGAACTCAAAAACTCCCGAAGCTCATTTTTTCCCGTCCCACCGAGTTTCCCTTGAAAAGAGTCGACGGCATCAGCCTAAATGAACCAATCCTGAGGTTTGGGTACTTGCTGTTACAACGAGTACTGAGTAGAAAATTCAGTACTTGCAGACTTTTTTTTAAATGCACTCGATCTCGTCAGTTTTGTTATTGACACTTGGCCTTTTTGACCTTCGCTCATTTGCGTACCCACTTCTTTGGTACTTATTCAATCGTTTAATGACCGAGAAAAATTCAAATTTCTTTCGAGGTCTCAATTATTCCACCCAGCAGTTCAACAAAAGCCAATAACTCAAAATCACCCCCGATTAAAAAAAATTGTTCGTGAGAAAAATTAGAGTAAAAAAAAATCATAGGGCTGATGATGGGTGGCTATTTTCCTCTTCCTCGACCGCCACGACTTCCTCTTCCTCCTCGACTTCCGGCTCCACCGCGTGCCTTTTTTGCACCTACAGACGGCTCTTCATCAGCGTCCATTTTGCGTTTCGTTGCTTTTGGCTGAACAACCTTTAACCATAAAACGTGCGAAAAAATTTTTGCAATAAGAAAGAGAATTCGAAAGAGGACTACGATTGTTTTCTGAAAATCCTGATACAGTGAATTCCAACAACAAAAAAGGTTGCCTCTCAAAAATACAACAGATCATTGACCTGAATTACTTTTCACATCCATAAAAAATACGCGAGAGATTATTTTCCATTCTTGCCAATTTTAAAAGCAAAAACTTTGAAAATGATGAATTGTTAGAAGCTCGAACGGAGTCTTGGAAAAATATCCGGCTGCATTTGGAACAATTCATTATAATTTGTACTAAATAATTCAGTAAAACGAAGATTAAATCTCAACGACATCCAGACCAGTTCTTAATTTTGGAATAGGGCTCATTTTACCAAAAATGTCTGAAAATGTTGCCAGAACAAATTAAATGAATACAGAAAGTAATATTCTGGGGAAAATTATTTTAAAATGCCCCAGAAAAGCAACTCTCAAAGCAGCAAAGAGAAAATTGGCAAGAGCAAAAAATAACGAAGCCATCGATAGTGGATTCAAACTAAACTTGAACTTTTGGCACTTACTGCTCGATATTTTTTCGCCTTTTTTCGACCAATTTTCTCTGTCTCGTAATTTTCATCAGTTTTTTTTTTTTTTTATGTTTGCTCCTTTGCGATAGGTACCTACTTATTGTGTTGCTGTATGGCAATTTAGATAGCAACAATTTATTGGTAATCAATTATTTCCACCCGAACCCCAATAACTCAAGATCATCATCGATTCAAAAATTGAATAAGAAAAAAAATGACCTTGATGGATTTGTCCTTCGCCAAATCGTCGTCGTCATCACCGTTGTCTCCTTCCTCGTCTTCATCTTCCAGGGCATCATCATCTTCTGCCCCCAAAACATCAGACGCACCACCTCCTTTCATTTTCGACACATGCACTGCCTCTGAGTACGGGTTCAACCGGTTCTCTTTGTTGTAGGCCCTGGTGAACGCACTCTTCACCTAATACAGTAAAAATCTCTTTACAACAATTTCTTCTGAATAACAAGGTTTTTTCTCAAGCCCCGACAGAAAGCCCGCCGAGTACATGTAGAAAAAATCGTTATACAATACACTTCCGGATTCCACTACTGTATAACAAAATTATTGAAGGAATTTTCAATGGATTCTCTAGTTAAAAATTTCCTAAGACTAAGACAGGCACAGTCTGAAATTTCTGATCCCAAATGTGAATAACTGATTCTTGAAGCATCAAAGGAAGTTGTAATTTATGAAAAAACATTCTTCTAAATGGCTCCACACATCATCCTACCTTACTGAAGAAATTGGTTCAACTGATGGAGTGTATCGCTTGATGCTAATTTTTACTTGCTCTGGGATTTGACCATGGTTGAAATATCATTGTGTGTTGTGGCTCTCAAAGTTTGCAAGAGATTTAAACTGTAAAATATAACAACTTTAAACTAGGGTGTAATTCATCAAGGCTCAGTGCAGAGTTTTATTGTTTGAATCTTATCCTCTAGTTATTCTTCACAGAGAAGATCACTCAGATTTTCAAACAATAATAAAAAATCTGAGAATGCCAGAAAAGCAATATTTAATTGATCATGGCCATGTCTGATGTGGAATTTTTTTCAGTTATAAATTTTGAAAACCTCATCACAACAAATTATTCAGCAAAACAAACTTATTCTGAAGTCCTCAAAAGTTTGTCGCAACAAGATTTCACTGCACTTATTACATAATTACACACATTACTTAAAAATGAAGAAAACTGAAAAACAAAATTTAAATATAAAGGACGCACTTTAGAATCAATCTTGCTCATGGGGTCCGCGTTTTTGCTGCCTGGCCAGGCAGTGAGATCAATCACAGCCTCCAAGTCTTCCCTGAGCAACGTGTAATGATCCAAGACGTCCAGACTCGGTCTGACGCCATCAGCTCCAAGTTCCATCAATGGACCGAAAATTCTTTGCTTCAATAACTCGAGGTAGTCTTCATTAACGGCGAGCTTCCCTGCACCTCCAGTGCTGCAGGCCAAAAAAAAAAATTGCACAGTACAGTATTTGTAAAGATTATCAACAAATAATCATCAGTATCACATCAACTCTCAAGATTTGTTCCCTGGATTCGACTTGAAGCAGAAATTCGTTCGACAATAACCTTGATCAACGCTGCTTTTACATTTAAAAAGAAACGATTCAGGCGACACCTACGTAAAAGAAAAGTAAAAACACAGAATCCGGGACATGGGACATTAAGCTCAAAATCGTCAGAAAATTGAGATTGTTCCAAGAACAGCCTCTTCATGCTGGGGTTTCATTAAAAGCATGGAGATTGTCGAAGGACGCCACTCTATTTAAAGATACAACACTCAACTCAATCAATTCTTCAAAGGATTCTCTTTAACAAAATGAAGTACAAATCTTTAAAAAATGTACCTGAGTCTCATATGAAAACTCAGCTCTTGCAAAAGCCGGTCCCGTTTGTTCCTGTTGGAATTCTTCCCCAGCCAGGCCGGGAAAGTGACTTGTCCACTCAGATATCCAGACATGACTTCCCCGGGAATCACGCTCGCAAAAATGGCTTGCACCGGCAACAAACTCCACGCACCGCCCGAACGAATTTCGCGCTCAATCAAGTCCGATTTGCACAAACTGTCCGCCGCCTGACTCATCAGATCCGCCATCTTCCGCTTGTTGCCCCTTGAGCGAAAAAAAGAGGAAACGGATTGTAATGATGCATAGCATTCATATCCTTGAATTAAAAAAAAAAGAAGTATTTCTAAAAATATATCACCGTATTTTTCTATAAATGCATGTTAGATCTGATTTTCGGGAATGATTACGCGTCTTACAAAACAACGAGCTCCAAGTTATTCAGGAACTTTGATCAACGGATTTCCACCAATTCTCTTTCACACGCTGTCCGGTGTAATTTTTCCAAAAAATAAATCTTTGAAATTTGTCTTTATTTCTGCACTTGATTCCGACTCACTTGCCAGCCTCGGGAACAGCGTTGAGGTAGTTTTCTTGCACAAACAACGGCCCCAGAGAATAATCGTGGAAGAAAAGAGCAGCTTTGTCATTCAGGCTTTTGCCAGCCTGTTCGCTTTTCGTAAAGACTTGTCTCACCACGTCCCAGGGGCCCTGAGGAAGAAATTTTCCAGAATTACCCACTCAGTTCTTCACAAGCGAGAGAGGTCCTCCGGTAACATTTGGACTTTGGCGGCTATTTCGAAAATAAACCTGAAGTTATCAAGATTTTTTAAGAAAGTTTCGAGTCGACGAAAATGGGGCAGCCATTTTTTTCCATTCGAAGAACAACGAGGTTTTAAATTTCGAGTGATTTGCAAGAACTTCTTGAGAAACCTCTCGTATTTTTGACACTTTCGAAAATGTAATATTTCGAGGGATGAAATTACCAATTTCAAGTCCTTCTTGGCTCGGTCGGCATCGGCCTTGGTTGCGTCCGAGCCCATGTTTTTCTCCTTGGCAGACCAGACACTGAGATGATTCAGGACTTGCCTCACGTCATGGTTGGAGCACTCGATCATCCCAGTCAGAGCATCTGGTGGAACCTGTCCGCATGCAAGCATAACGAAATATTCATCAAACTTCCACGCCTTCCAGTCAACGAAGAATCATACAGAATAATCAAATGAATGTCACACAAAACATTTTCTTTTTACGAATGGAAAAATAAAATATTCTTTAGCAACGCATTTTCTTAAAAAATATATATATCCTGTGGATTAGCGACGGCGTCAATATTTCCGCCAACATTTTTTTCAATATTTATCTCAAAACATGTCCTTTTATTTGTTTCGAAGTTTTTAAAATTGAATGATGTCCTCGAAAAGCCTACCTCAATCAAATCTTTCTTTTTTTCAAACTCCCTTCATCCCAGACTCAAATGGTTTCTTTGCCGATACGCAGATGTCGCCTGTATTTTATTATTACCACGTTTTTATGAACTCACTTTCTTGTCTGTTTGTTTGTGGTAAAATTCTGGTAGTGTAACATACATTTATAGAAAATACGGTGATCTATTTTGAGAAATACTTCTTTTTTTAATTCGTTTCTTCTCTTTTTCGCTCAAGGGGAAACAAGCGGAAGATGGCGGATCTGATGAGTCAGGCGGCGGACAGTTTGTGCAAATCGGACTTGATCGAGCGCGAAATTCGTTCGGGCGGTGCGTGGAGTTTGTTGCCGGTGCAAGCCATTTTTGCGAGCGTGATTCCCGGGGAAGTCATGTCTGGATATCTGAGTGGACAAGTCACTTTCCCGGCCTGGCTGGGGAAGAATTCCAACAGGAACAAACGGGACCGGCTTTTGCAAGAGCTGAGTTTTCATATGAGACTCAGGTACATTTTTTTAAGATTTGTATTTTATTTTGTTGTAGAAAATCCTCTGAGAAATTTATTGAGGTGAGTGTTGTATCTTTAAATAAAGTGGCGTCCTTCGACAATCTCCATGCTTTTAATGAAACCCCAGCATGAAGAGGCTGTTCTTGGAACAATCTCAATTTTCTGACGATTTTGAGCTTGATATGAATTCCCATGTCCCCGACTCTGAGTTTTTACTTTTCTTTTACGTAGGTGTCGCCTGAATCGTTTTTTTAATGTAAAAGCAGCGTTGATCAAGGTTATTGTCAAACGGATTTCTGCTTCAAGTCGAATCCAGGGAACAAATCTTGAGAGTTGATGTGATACTGATGATTATTTCTTGATAATCTTTACGAATGCTGTATAATTTTTTTCGGCCTGCAGCACTGGAGGTGCAGGGAAGCTCGCCGTTAATGAAGACTACCTCGAGTTATTGAAGCAAAGAATTTTTGGTCCATTGATGGACCTTGGAGCTGATGGCGTCAGACCGAGTCTGGACGTCTTGGATCATTACACATTGCTCAGGGAAGACTTGGAGGCTGTGATTGATCTCACTGCCTGGCCAGGCAGCAAAAACGCGGACCCCATGAGCAAGATTGATTCTAAAGTGCGTCCTTCATATTTAAATTTTGTTTTTCAGTTTTCTTCATTTTTAAGTAATGTGTGTAATTCTGTAATAAGTGCAGTGAAATCTTGTTGCGACAAACTTTTGAGGACTTCAGAATAAGTTTGTTTTACTGAATAATTTGTTGTGATGAGGTTTTCAAAATTTATGACTGGAAAAAATTCCACATCAGACATGGCCATGATCAATTAAATATTGCTTTTCTGGCATTCTCAGATTTTTCATTATTGTTTGAAAATCTGAGTGATCTTCTCTGTGAAGAATAAATAAAGGATAAGATTCAAAAAATAAAACTCTGCACTCAGCCGGGATGAATTACACCCTAGTTTAAAGTTATTATATTTTACAGTTTAAATCTCTTGCAAACTTTGAGAGCCACAACACACAATGCTTTTCAACCATGGTCAAATCCCAGAGCAAGTAAAAATTAGCATCAAGCCATGCACTCCCATCAGTTGAACCAATTTCTTCAGTAAGGTAGGATGATGTGTGGAGCAATTGAAAAGAATGTTTTCTCATAAATTACAACTTCCTTTGATGCTTCAAGAATCGGTTATTCACATTTGGGATCAGAAATTTCAGACTGTGCCTGTCTTAGTCTTGGGAAATTTTCAACTAGAGAATCCATTGAAAATTCCTTCAATAATTTTGTTATACAGTAGTGGAATCCGGAAGTGTATTATAACGATTTTTTCAACATGTACTCGGCGGGCTTTCTGTCGGGGCTTGAGAAAAACCCTGTTTATTCAGAAGAAATTGTTGTAAAGAGATTTTTACTGTATTAGGTGAAGAGTGCGTTCACCAGGGCCTACAACAAAGAGAACCGGTTGAACCCGTACTCAGAGGCAGTGCATGTGTCGAAAATGAAAGGAGGTGGTGCGTCTGATGTTTTGGGGGCAGAAGATGATGATGCCCTGGAAGATGAAGACGAGGAAGGAGACAACGGTGATGACGACGACGATCGTACTCAGAGGCAGTGCATGTGTCGAAAATGAAAGGAGGTGGTGCGTCTGATGTTTTGGGGGCAGAAGATGATGATGCCCTGGAAGATGAAGACGAGGAAGGAGACAACGGTGATGACGACGACGACTTGGCGAAGGACAAATCCATCAAGGTCATTTTTTTCTTATTCAATTTTTGAATCGATGATGATCTTGAGTTATTGGGGTTCGGGTGGAAATAATTGATTACCAATAAATTGTTGCTATCTAAATTTCCATACAGCAACACAATAAGTAGGTACCTATCGCAAAGGAGCAAACATAAAAAAAAAACTGATGAAAATTACGAAACAGAGAAAATTGGTCGAAAAAAGGCGAAAAAATATCGAGCAGTAAGTGCCAAAAGTTCAAGTTTAGTTTGAATCAACTATCGATGGCTTCGTTATTTTTTGCTCTTGCCGATTTTCTCTTTGCTGCTTTGAGAGTTGCTTTTCTGGGGCATTTTAAAATAATTTTCCCCAGAATATTACTTTCTGTATTCATTTAATTTGTTCTGGCAACATTTTCAGACATTTTTGGTAAAATGAG